TGGATAAAGGACATACAACAGATGAACCACAAAAATTATAGCATGGTACCTGCTAGGAATTAAGAGATCTAGAAGAAGACCAAACCATGAGATTAGCACCATGATATTAGGAAATTAGCAGGGATAACTTGGACCGGCGCCGGCGCCGGCGGCATAGCCAACAATGGCCGCAATTATAAAGAGAGTATCTAAATATGTGAGGGATGTTACACCATAATTAGTTATGGTTGAATAAGCTGAAAACGATGATGATAATGATAATCAAATTCCGTTTATATACAGCGTGGGCCACTGAAAACTTACAATGGCTATAATTTTTAAACCAAAAAAGATATCAAAAAAATAAAAAAATACCGTTTCTATAATATCGATGGGGAATACATATTATGACGTATTTTTTTAACCATCCCGACCTACCCCTTAGGTGGCACCCCTACTCACTTGAAAATCTTAATAAAGAAATCTTAATTACCCCACTTGTGGCGCCTTTTTGGAAAGTCCATGAAAAATGCTAAACAATGATCATTTAGTTTTTAGGGTGAAATTGAAAAACTACCCCATACACGAAAAATTAGGTAAACATTAATGAAAAAAGTGATTTTTTCAGCATAAGTTACAAATTGGGACCCAGCTAAATGAAGCAAATGAGGTATTTTTCAAACCACCCCGACGGTTTTAATCTCATCAATGCCATTTTGAAACTATTGCCATTTTGAAGCTAAAAATAAAAAATGTAGATAATAAAAGGCCACACAAAGATGTTTTACCAGTCGTTCAGCTTAATTTTTCGATAACGCAAATTCCTCCATATCATCTGTTTTTTTACTTTCAACAAACAGGAATCTTAAAACGGCATATCTTTGCGTTTTTGCACTGTCTTCTATCGATTTTCAATCGTTTGCAAATTTGGTGGTACTTTAAACCTTTATTTGATTCGCTTATTTGAAAGAAAAATGGTTTATACTGTGGAAAAAAGAATTCAAATAATTTTTCTTAAACTAATCTTCAGCATCATGAAGGTATGTGCTATTTGAGAACGGCCCGTGCTTTAAGTGAGAGATTCAATCCGAACAAAAACGTAAGTTACGTTTATGTTAGAGATTTAATTTTTAAGTTTCAAGAAACTGGATCGGTCAAAAAGGACAGGGCCCAGGGTACTGAATGAAGAAATGCAGAAGTTATTGCTCAGGTATCGATTAATCCAGAAGCATCAACATGCCAGTTGGCATCAATCACAAGTATACCTCGAACATCCGTCAGAAGAGTATTGAAAATGCGCAAATTCCATCCCTACAAAATGAAGATTCTGCAGAAACTTGGCGACGACGATCCAGATAGAAGGATCCAGTTCTGTGAACTAATGACGGAGGAAATTTGAAGGAAACCTTCACTCACTAAGAATATTTGTTTTGGTGATGAGTGCTAATTTTTTTTAACGGAAATGTGAATAAGCAAAATTGCAGTTGTCGCATATTGTTGTTGAAGGACACACCCAACATCCTCAAAAGCTCAATGTTTGGTGTGGAGTACTAGACGATAAAATTATAGGTCCATTTTTTATCGACGGAAATTTGACTGGTGATGCTTATGTGGAAATGCTGAACAATTTGATAGAGCCAGCCATTGTAAATAAGGTTGAAAATCAAAGATATTTGGAAGGAAATTTAACTCTTAATTAACCTCATACACTTTCAGCAAAATGGAGCCAAAAGTGTTCCATATATGTATGGAACAAAACGGCTATTATTTTGAGCATTGGTTTAAATAAATTAGCATTTAAAATTTTTTTCAAATTGTCACACCTACATTTCGTATCACTACTTACCAGTAATTAAGTTGAAATCTGTATGACCATCGTTTAGCAATTTCAATTAGCTTTCCAAAGAAGTGTCACAAATACAAGGGTATCGCTATCTTGAGATTAGAAGTGTGGGGGTGGCACCTAGGGGTGGGTCGGGGTGGTTTGAAAAATACTTCATGTGCCTTATTTAGCTGTGTCCCAATTTGTAACTTATACTGAAAAATATACATTTCGTATCACTACTTACCAGTAATTAAGTTGAAATCTGTATGACCATCGTTTAGCAATTTCAATTAGCTTTCCAAAGAAGTGTCACAAATACAAGGGTATCGCTATCTTGAGATTAGAAGTGTGGGGGTGGCACCTAGGGGTGGGTCGGGGTGGTTTGAAAAATACTTCATGTGCCTTATTTAGCTGTGTCCCAATTTGTAACTTATACTGAAAAATCACTGTTTTCATTAATGTCCACCTAATTTTTGTGTAAGGGGTAGTTTTTCAATTTTACCCTAAAAACTGTATGATCATCGTTTAGCATTTTTCATGGGCTTTCCAAAAAGGCGCCACAAGTGGGGTGTTGCCATATAAGATTTTCAAGTCAGTAGGGGTGCCGCCTAAGGGGTAGGTCGGTGTGGTTCAAAAAATACGTCATATGTATTCCCCCTCGATATTATAGAAACGGTATTTTTTATTTTTTTGATATCTTTTTTGGTTTAAAAATTATAGCCATTGTAAGTTTTCAGTGTATATATTTTCTACCCTGTATACATGTTTCTTAATTTGTAGAAAAAAAGTCTTCTGTTAAACTACTATTTTAATAATTCTAGCTACTGATCGACGTAATGTCAATGTCTAGGTCTCAAAATCATATACATCACTACACAAACCAAAATACAACTACTTTCTAGTTAACCTCGTATATTACAAATCTAACAACTCTTTCTTACGCCTTTTGAAAATAAACCGTCGAATAAATAATGATTAAACCCTACAAATGTCTTAGAGGAATGGTCATACGTTGAAAACTCGATTCATCGATTTATAAATCGGATTACATCACATCGCTTCTGACCGTTTGACATATGTAAAGATTTCTCTTAGCTGTCAAGATTGCAAAGATTGATTTAGCTGCTATTTAACTACTCTGCAAGCAGGACATAAAATTCGTCATGTGAATCCCAGGGAAGCTTTTAGACAATGATCCAGAAGCTGGAATCTGCAGGCTCCATTTTATAAACTAGACCTCTAATAGGTCATTCGCCAGTAATAAATTAGAGAGCTTTGAAACCGGGTGACGTTTTGTATAAGGAATAATGACAAAAGTAGGATGAAAAGATTTAGATAAGGTTAGGTTTTCGTCGCTGGAGTGTCTTCATAACAAGATTTACGTTAGAATCACAATCATGTCTACCTCCATATCATCGCTGACGCTAAATTATAAATATACCAACTACCAGATTAATTTTTTTCTTTTATATTAAAATTATCACAGATATTAATCTTTAGTTAGATAATTGTTGCTACGTAATAATTTAACAGAACCTGTGAACCCCTTTGAACTTAACATGCTCTTTGTTGAGGCCAGACAGTCTATGGTATGTACTTTGTGATATTTATCGTTAGTTTTTCACGCGAAACTTCAATTTCATCGCCAATTCTAAAAGGTCACTAGTCACTGTTTGAAAGGTTGTACTAGGTATATATTTCGAAGTATAGCTTGCCATTGTCTTGCTATAATTTAGGTAGCTGTTTAATGGTTGTTATGTTTCTATAAATAAATATTGAGATGAATAATGATATTGAGTAAATAAATATATTAGTGATCGTAAAGAGATAATAATATAACTATAAGTTAGGATTAGGTTGATTATTAGATTAATCACTCTATTTGTTCTAACTATCTTAATCTTTAACATATCAGTAGTTCTCTTAATAGTTAATTTGTTGGAATAATAAAAGTGCCGTATATGACTAAAAAAGTATTCTATAAAACAAACAAGTAATTTTTTTATTTTCTTGTTAAGTATGAGGCGAGTGTAATGTATGAGGGGGTTTCTCTTTTCACTTGGGTAAAAAATATACAATTGTAATCGGTTGCCTAAGACTCATTCCAACGATTGCCAGCGACTGCTCAATCTGATGATTTTTCTTTCACTTGTTTTGTGCCAGAAACAATAAAAATAAAATGTGTCTATCCTATACAAGCAAATTATGATTGTCTGTATTTATAATTTTCTAATAGATTTGTGTCTGGAAACGTGCTATCCTTTTTTAATCTTCCTATTATTAGTATTAATTTTGACAAATTTTATGCTAATTTTTAGTAAGTGACGTATACAGATTGATTTCGCCAAAATTATCATCTATTGTCATTCCCTAGCCGCCTTTGACGACTTTTTTTCGGTCGTACGGCATTATATGTGAAGAAAAAATCAATATTAATACCCTATATTCCGTCGTCAATCTGACGGCTTTTCCTTTCACTTGTTTTGCCAGAAATAAAGAAAAGTAAAATTTGCTTATCATATGCAGACAATTTTTATATCAGAGATTTACCTCGCGAACATTATCGTTGCCCAACCGTCTTTGAGGTTGTTTTTTTTTTGATCGCATGGTACTTATAATACTGGATATCTTTACCAGCATTCGTCAATTATAAATTAGTACTATTGCAACTGGGCGATTAAACAAAGTCTCAGAAAGTGAGGAAAACCACCTCACTTTCTTCAACCTTTTCCACTCTCAGAGTGGAAAATATAAAATTAAAAGATTTACGTCCTCACTAGATTTCTTTTTGAGAAATTATCCCCTTCCGCATTCCTGTACCCAAGGCAAAATCTGATTAGTTTACGTCCAGAGGGGCCTCCTGATGAGATTTATCTTTATACCGACTGGTAATTGTTTTGACAACAATTCAATTTGGCCGAGTCCCGTTGTTTTCAATTAGGGGACTAACTAAAGTTTAGGGTTAGGATTATGGTGTGCATGTTTTTGTGTGTTTTTGAAAATAATCTAATTATGTATTTTTCTGTCCATCTGTCCACCTTCATACAAATATCCAAGAATAAGCAACAAATAAAAATACAGATTTGATGCCACCGTCTTTATGCACACGACATCCAAAAAAATTTAAGTGAAACACAATTTCAATTAAAATAAGGTATCCTTATCCACCTTTATTATTAATTCCCAAGACAATAACATGAGTACATTTAATTCAAAATTTTCCGGAGTTATAACTAGTTCCCCAATCGGATCTCCGGGGGGAACGGCTTTAAATGTAACAAACAAAAGAACGAATTTGAGAAAACCATTTAAGATCGGAACATGGAATATAAGAAGCTTATTCGATGCTGGAAAACTGGCAAACCTCACACGAGAAATGAACAGACTTAGTCTGGATATTCTGGGCGTTGCAGAAACCTGGTGGCCTGGGGTGGGAGAGTGCAAAGTGGATAACGGCGTATTCTTTTACTCTGGTAATGAAGATCCAAAACACAGGAAAGGTGTGGGAATCGTAGTAACAAAAGAAATACTGAAATTTGTCGTGGACTTTGTTCCATACTCGGATCGCACTGCTTTATTAAAACTCAGAGCCAGGCCAAGCAATCTTAATATAATACAAGTATACGCTCCAACTCCAGATTCGCCGGATCAGGAGGTGGAAAGATTCTATGATGAAATCAAATAACTGCTCAAATTGACTAAAAAACACGACGTCAACATAATTATGGGTGACTTCAATGCCAAAATAGGAAAGGGTAAATTTAACGAAATTATTGGTTCTTATGGTCTCGGAGAAAGGAACGAAAGGGGCGATCGACTTCTGCAATTCTGTCAAGAAGAGGGCTTGAAAATATCAAATACATTGTTTCGACTTCACTCTCGCCGCCTCTATACCTGGAAGTCTCCAGCGGACCGACCAGACAATGTGATACGAAATCAAATAGATTTCATCCTCATTAACCAAAGGTTCGGCTCAACTATCAAGAGAGCCAGTACGTATCCTGGCGCGGATGTTCCCTTTGACAATGTGCTATTAGTGGCCGTAATAAAAATTGCTTTATCAAGTCAAAGAAAACCAACCACACAGCGACGGGTGGCATTAGAAAGAATGAGGGATCCAATAGTAAAATCAGAGATGAGTGACGATATCAACACACATATTCAATCAATAATACCGAATATGGGAGGAGAACCAACACAATCTTGGACAAAGATAATGGATATTGTAACAAAATCAATGCAAAACAGGTTAGGATATGAAGCAAAAAACAAAAAGCAAAAATGGATGACGGATGAGATCTTGTTGTTAATGGATGAACGTCGAAAGTATAAGAACAAAGCAGATGGCATGTACAAAGATATTCAAAGACTCATAAGAATAAAGATTAGAATAGCTAAGAACGAATGGCTTAAACGTGAATATTCAGAATTAGAACAGCTGCAAAACCAACACGACAATTTTAATCTGCATAAAAAGCTGAAGGAGACTGCTGGCATATATAAGAAAATGAGATCAACTGTGACAGTCAATAATAACAACCAAATAGTCCTCGAAAGCACAGAGAAGAGCAATGTTTGGGAAAAGTATGTAGAAGAAATTTTTGACGATGACAGACCCCCAGCTGATATCAATAACTAGCTAACCGGCCCATCGATCACTAAAGACGAGATAGAAAAAGCCATACTTAATTCTAAAAATAACAAAGCGGCTGGCCCAGATTAAATTCCTGCAGAAATCCTTAAACTCCTAGATGAAAGAGGCATAACAGCACTACATAGAGTATTTAACACTATATATAAGACAGGTCACTACCCCAAACAGTGGTTGCGTTCTACTTTTATCCCCCTGCCTAAGAAGACCAATACCAGAAAATGTGAAGATCATAGACTTATTAGCCTGATGAGCCATACCCTAAAAATATTTCTGAAAATCATACACCAGAGAATTTACAAAAAATGTGAAAGGGACATAAGCGATTCACAAATGGGGTTCAGGCAAGGGTTACGAACAAGGGAAGCGATAGTTGCAACACAGGTGCTTGTCCAGAACTGCTACGATCAGAGAAAGGATGTGTGCCTGTGTTTCATAGACTACGAAAAGGCATTCGATCGCGTGCAACACCACAAGTTAATGCAGCTACTCAAAAGGCTTGATATAGACCAAAAATACATACAATGCACCGAAAACTTGTACTGGAACCAAACAGCACAAATAAAATTGGCCAATACCATGTCCAATCCCATACAAGTTGGAAGGGGGGTGCGACAGGGTTGCTTGCTGTCTCCACTCCTATTCAATTTGTACTCAGAGGCTATTCTCCAAGAGGCTCTAGAGGACGTCGAAATGGGAGTCAAAGTTAACGGAGTGTGGATTAATAACATCCGCTACGCCGACGATACGGTCTTGATTGCAGATAATATACACGATCTACAACAACTGGTCAACAAGGTAGGAGAACAGAGTAAAGCAATGGGTTTAAACATAAACATCAAGAAAACTAAATTTATAATATCCAGAAATCCAGATATGTTTAAAAACTCCATTATAACATTCAATACAAGGCCCATAGAGAGGGTAGATAAATTTAAGTACTTGGGCATCTGGCTCTCCGAAGATTGGACATCAGACAAGGAAATTAAATGTCGCATCGAACAAGCTCGGCAAGCATTCTTGAGGTTCCGAAAAGTACTTGTCTGTTCAGATTTTGACCTTAACCTCAGATTAAGATTCGTAAAGTGTTACGTGTGGTCGGTGCTCCTTTATGGTATGGAAGGTTGGACATTGAAAGCAGCTGCCATTAATAAACTAGAGGCTTTCGAGATATGGCTATATCGCAGAATTCTGAAGATACCTTGGACGGCTAGGTTAACAAATGAGGAAGTTCTGAGACGTGTCAACAAACAGCGCGAATTGTTTGAATTGATTAAGAAGAAAAAAACCGCATACCTGGGGCACATAATGCGAAATCCCAAATATCAATTCTTGCATCTGTTAATCGAAGGCAAGATCGAAGGCCGGAGGGGTATCGGAAGGAAGAAAATGTCATGGCTGAGGAATGTTAGACAGTGGACAGGCCTACACGATGTACAGTCGTTAATAAACACCGCCAGGAATAGAGAAGCGATGGAAAATGTTATCGCAAACATCCATTAATGGATTCGCACTAGAAGAAGAAGAAGATCCTTATACCTAACTAAGTCTGAGCGTGGAGTAGGAAACGGATTCAAATATAAATAAGGAAGGAAGAGTTAATATTTTTAATTTTTTAAAAAAGGCTTGGCAATGAGTTCTACTGTTTATCACTATACCCAGTGAATATCGAACAGCTCTCTTCTGGAGCTTGAAAATGCGGTCAAATTGAGTCGCACAACACGTACCACAGAATGGAAGGGCATCTAAGGTGCAACTCAAAAAGTGCATAATAAACAGTAGTTCTAGCCACTGACAAGTTAAGCTCCTTAGAAACAGATCTTAATGCAAAACAGGCAGAGCTTAATTTTTTCGACAAAGCGTCGATATGCATGTCCCCTTCCAGAGAATTGTCTACAACAAGGCCTAAGAATTTTACAGATTTTACGACGTCAATGGTGGTGTTCTTAAGTACAAAAGGCTGCAGCGAGTTTTTTTTAAATAATTTTTATATTAGTTCAGTGCTAAATAGTGTATAACAATACATACATTAAAGACTATTAAAACATTTGTTTAACGCTAGCATTCCGTGAGCGACACTTTATATCTACGTTAATAAAACTTGCACGCTGTGGTCATTTATTTAAAGGAAAAATGGTACATAGCGTTATTGTCCTTTTAAAATAATGATGTGTTGGGGCAGTTTTATGACAGCATAAAAGGGAGAACAAAGAGCTATTCTTTTAATATATCGTCTGGATATTACTGTTCATTGCTGGCATGGCTTGGTTTAACGCTTAAGATCATCGAGATTAACCAAGAACTTCAGATTTTTAGTGATACATTAAAAATGTACCTGTGAAACTCTAGTCACTAAGAAGATTCAAAACCAGAAAATTGATGGAATTTATACAGGGTGAGTTTCCTACGATGTTCTTTATGGGTATCTCGGAAACTACTGGAGATAGAGAGTCGGTTAAATAAGGGAAGAATTGCAGTTTTGTGGGGTCAGAAATATGCACCTTTCAGATTTTTGAAAAAGTTCATGGCTCACTAGATATATCGAAAAAAACAAATTTTGGCTATTTTAAAAATTGTTCCTAATTCCTAATTAAGTTATTTTAGACAAAAAAATTTCAGATAAAAGTTGTAGATAATTGGATCCTTAATGAGTTGGTGTCCTCCGTTTTTATCTAAAACGTGTCATTTTTGACATATGACACAAACATTTGTTTTTTTAAATGGAAACCATAGTTGGCCATGACTTCATAAAAAGCGCCATTTTTTAAGCGTTTCAGCGATATAAGCTATAATATGTTTTCTTCGAAAAATAACTAAGTTATAGCCAATTTTTATAATTTTTAAACAATTTCACTTAGTTAGCCATGGAAACAAGTTCATAATCGTCTTTGGTCTCGGAAATATGAAGCTGTCACATCCAAACTTTGTAAATTAAAATAAACAAAAATTGTAAATATGAATTTTTCAAATGAAGAAAAGCATGTAGGATTTATTTTATTTGTTGGTTCAACTTTTCTTGACCATACATTTTCGAGGATACATTGACGTAGAATGTTACGTTTTTTAGAGAACGGTTTTCAAGACATGTTAGAAAAGTTAAATTTAGTTATAGCCAATTCTTATCTTTCTTGACTATATCACTTAGATTTCATGGTATTCTTATTCTGTTATGATTTATAAGTTATAAGATATATAAGTCAGAATATATTATTAAGCAAATGTTTACAATTTACATTACACAAACTAAACCTTAAAAAATTAATATCACTACATACACTTTAAGTTATTATAGAAAATGTTCAAAAAATCCGCCATTGTTTTGAGTTGCATCCTTTTAAAACTAAATTACTACAATACCTATTCTCACAGAAGGACCGGTCGACTTAATTAAACTTCTCTCGTACCGCCACTTCGAGTGCCTCTTAATTCATAGGTTTTTTTAACCTTTTTGTTAACCATACCGCATAAAAAATTTAAAATGGATAGGTCAGGTGATCGAGGAGGCTCATGCATTCGGTCCACCTCTTCCTATCCCTGAGTTTGCATTATTTTGATATAAATAATTTTTAACATTTCTTTCATTATGTGGGGGGGGGGTCATAATGAAAGTCATGTTGGAAGCACTCTATTGATGCGCGAGTACCTACACGCATTTCTTCATTTGAGAAATTCATATTTACAATTTTTCTTTATTTTAATTTACAAAGTTTGGATATGACAGCTTCACATTTCTGAGAGCAACGGCGATTGAACTTGTTTCCATGGCTAACTAAGTGAAATTGTTTAAAAATGATAAGAATTGGCTATAACTCAGTTATTTTTCGAAGAAAACATATTATAGCTTATATCGCTGAAAAGCTTAAAAAATGGGGCTTTTTATAAAGTCATGGCCAACTATGGTTTCCATTTAAAAAAACATATGTTTGCATCATATGTCAAAAATGACAGGCTTTAGAAAAAAGTGGAGTACACAGCCTCATTAAGGATATGATTATCTACAACTTTTATATGAAAATTTTTTGTCTAAAATAGCT